TATATATATATTAAAATAAGTATTAAAAACAGTAATATATTAATACTGTTTGTGTGTACTATATATAACAAGGCATGAAAGGGTGCAGGATTGTTTTGCAATTTCAAACGTTCTAAATCGGCTGCGTTTGCGTACATAAGTAGGTCTAAAGTATGTTCTATTTTGATTCTGTTTTGACCTGTATATTATTTTTCCCCCCTAATTTTCTTTATATTTTCTATATTTTTTTTTATCTAAGAAATGTCAGTCATAATGTGTAGTTGTAAATCTGCGATGTTTTTAAACTTGACATATCATGAAAATCTGACTTTTTCCATCTGTTAGTCCTAGAATTTGGTCACTGGTACATCTATTAACCCAGAAAACGTGAAAAAGAACAACAGTAAATTTTTTGGGTAAGTCTTTCTCTGCAAGCTTGTGAAAAAATGAGCCACTTAGATTTCGCTCCCCCCATGACTTAGAAAGGGAATCTTATTATAATATCACCGCCCCTTAATCTGCAAGTTTCCACACATGGCGCCACCATTGTGTTTTCGCAAGCTACAACGGTGTACCAGTTCTAATGCCATGGCGAAAATCCGAGCACAGCATGCTAACTGTTCTGTCTTTGGCTGCACATAACTGACTGTTTTTGTAACTCGTGTGTTTTTAACATAAACTTGTTTGTATTTGACAGTTTAAGCACAATAAGACATTAAAGAGACTTGCATGCCATGTGACGGCCGCTTTCTGTGCACATGCTTCCTATGTGTGCGCTCAGAAAACATATATCACAAGTTTAAACTAATATAGCTTTAAAACGCATGATTTCAGCACGATAGACATGAAAATCAAAACCAAACAGATGTTTTTATAGCAGAGTATCTGAGGAATAATGCACAGCCCTGTTATAAAGAGGGCAGGAAGCAGCAGTTCATTTGCATTTAAAGAGACATGCACGAAAAACAGTGTGTTTCTGCTTCCACTCAAAATAGTCATTTTCAAAATGATATAATAAATTATCTGTGGGGTATTTTGTGCTAAAACTTCACAGACACATTCTGGGGACACCCAAGACTTATTACATATTGCAAAAAGGGGTTTAATAGGTCTCCTTTAAATGTCACTCTTTTTCATCTCAACAGCCAATGCTCTTTCTGCTGCAGCTGATAAGTGACAGACTGTTTATAGTCATTCATTCAAATTCTTATTCTAGTTACATGATATGAATGACTGTTTTGCCTAGTCTTAAATATTACAATACTTGTTATATCATAATGTTTTAGGTAATTATAGTATCAGACTGGTGAATGGTACAAATGACTGCTCTGGAAGAGTTGAGATCCTGTATAATGGCACATGGGGGACAGTGTGTGATGATGGCTGGGACATGAATGATGCTGCTGTGGTGTGCAGACAGCTGGGATGTGGAACAGCTGTTAGTGCACATGGCAGTGCTCATTTTAGACAGGGTAGTGGTCAGATCTGGTTGGATGATGTGGGATGTTCAGGAAGTGAATCATTGCTCTCACAGTGCTCACATCCTTCTATTGGAACACATAACTGTGGTCATCATGAAGATGCAGGTGTCGTCTGCTCACAAGGTATATCTGGGGTGGGGGGGTTCTGTTGTTTTGTTGCATTTGTATGTAATATTTTCTTAGCATTAGGCTACATTTCTATTTTTTACATTTAATTACTTTGGTACTATTTTTAGTTAATTTTCACAACAGTTTTTACCAAATTTCAAACAGATTGTTTTGATGATGTCTAGAAATTAGTGCTAAGAGTTTTGAAAATGTACCCCTTGCTTGTGAAAATAATATCAGCAATTAAAAAGCACAAACCATGGTGTTTGGCTCCAGAAAATAAAAGAACAAATGGAAACTAATGTTTAACACAGATACTTGCCACATGACCCAAATACACATTTTTAATCCTTATTGCTTGCATTTTTAATGCCAAGCAGCAGACAAGGTTGGTCAGTGGGTCTGATTCATGTTGTGGGAGAGTGGAGATCCGTTATAATGGCCAGTGGGGAACCGTGTGTGATGATAACTGGGACATGAATGATGCTGCTGTGGTGTGCAGAGAGTCACAGTGTGGATCAGCCATCAGTGCACCTCATGGAGCCGCCTTTAGTCGAGGCAGTGGATCGATCTGGCTGGATGATGTTGAATGCTCAGGAAGTGAAGGAGCCCTCACACAATGTTCACACAGTGGACTAGGAAAACATGACTGTAAACATGGTGAAGATGCTGGTGTTGTTTGTTCAGGTATGTTAAATCTCTTGCATTTTCACACATTATTTTGGGGGGAAATGAGCAACAGAAATTACATTAACATTTCATGAATTTCATAATATTTCAACATTTTCAAAATAAATTACAAATTTATTTTGCAGGTGAGCTGCAGATGCCGACTCTTTCCCTGACCTCCACACATGCAGCTGTTTCTCCTGGAGAACATATCCAGTTCAGTTGCACAACACCTAAACCAAGATGCAATGCTAATGCTAAATTCCAGCTCTTCATGAACGGATCATCTATATCCTCCCAGACACATGTATCTAGTGTGACTTTCAACCTTGTTAATGTAGACATCTCACATCAGGGCAGCTACAGCTGTCGTTACTCCTACCAAAACAACACTGTCAAGTCACCTTTGAGCAACACTGTTATCATCACTGTGGGTGAGTGTGTTCAATCATAAATTACATGCATTAATTGCATGAAAGTGAATTAATTCTGTATTTTTGATCCTGACAAGATACAGTTCTTGAAGCCATTTTTATTTATTTAAAGAAGTTAGTTTTATTGTTTGAGTCTCTGTAACCATATAAATGTATTCTCCTTGTTTTCTAGTGAACTTGCAGCAGCCCAGTATTTCCCACAGTGCTCCTGATGGATGGTTTGACGTGGGGCCTCAGGGGCCAGTGATCACCAGGGGCCACAATTTCACTATCATCTGTTCAACTCAATCTCAGTATCCTGGCGGATCTTTTCACCTGTTCAGAGGATCAAACATCACCAGGACATCCTCCTGCTGAAGAGAAGACAAAAGCAAAGGAACAAGGAAACTTTCTTGAAGTTCTTCTTTAGAAATGGTAACTCTGCATTTCATGAAAACATCAAATTATGTCTTTTAAGTTTTAACATTTTACCTTCCATCAACACTGTTTATTAACAACTTCCTTTAATAAATTTGGCCTTCATCTCTATGCAATGTTACTAGGTGCAGATAATATATATGCAGGTGCATCTCATGACAAGAAAAATGAAGAGGATAACATTTATGAAAGCTATTGTGATGAATACTGAGTAAGCTACTACAATTAATAAGGCTCCAAAGAGTTAAGGCAGCCTTAATGTTAATGAAGGAAATCCAGTTGAAAGTGATTGAGTTATACATAGTTTATAAAACAAAAAAATCTTTGTTTGTTTGGCCTCACTGTCTTTTTATTAATGAGGATTGCTTATAGTATTGTGTGTATAGCACACAGTTTTCTGGCATATACAGTATAAGTCAAATATTGGAGAATGACCAAATGAAACAGTATGCTGTGTAATACTGTCAGCAGTAGGAGGATCAAGTGTTCTTTTAATTTCCGTGTTGCCAGTTTTCAACCTGTGCTCCAAACCCCCAGAGGGCCATGGAGGTACTGCAGAGGGACTGTAAACAATGATTAAAAATTATCTTTTAATAACTTTTAATAAAGTTGCAATTTTAAATTTTGCTATGTGCCTTGCAAGTAAGGACTACAAGTGTGGGCTTAGAAATGGTGTAACCACTGTAGATGTTGATTCACACCCCAATGTGTGTGTGTGTGTGTG